GAAAGTGGCTAGGCCAGGTGTAGTGGGAGACAGAAGCAGGCAGATCTCTGTGAATTTGAGGCCAGCGGGGTCTGCATAGCAAGTTCTGAGACAGTCAGGGATACATAGTAAGGCCCTGTCTCAAAAATTTTTTAAAAATTCCAGGTCAAAGAGAGCTGGAGAGATACTCAGTGGTTAAGAGCACTGGCTGCTCTTGCAGAGGACCCAGGTTTGGTTCCCAGCACCCACATGGTGGCTAACAACTATCTGTAACTCCAGTTCTAGGTGATTCAATGCCCTCTTCTGACCTTCATGGGCATTACATGACATGGGTGCACTTACATGCAGGCAATACACTCATACACATAAAAACTATAAATAAAAAGGAGAAAGCAAACCGGGTACTGTATTTATCCTTCTCTGCTTCCTGACTGCAGATGCCATGTGACCAGCCATTTCAAGCTCCTATGGCCTAGACTTCCCTGCTATCGTGGACTGAACCTTCACCTATGAACTAAACTAACCACAATTGAACTTGTTTAAAAATTGCTTTCAGGGGCTGGAGAAATGGCTCAGCAGTTAAGAGCACTGACTGCTCTTGCAGAGGACCCGGGTTCGATTCCCAGAACCTACATGGTGGTTACAAACCATCCTTAACTCCAGTTCCAGGGGAATCCAAAGGCCTCTTCTGACCTCCACAGCATTGCACAGCATGGGTGCACTCACATACATGCAGGCAATACACTCATGCACATAAAAAATAAAATATTTAAAAGATTGCTTTCATAATATCATGAAGAATTATTTTTGAAAAAATTGAACATATCCAAAGCACTTCAGAGAGTGCCTGACATATATTAATGAGCTTAAGAAATGGTGGTTGGCGTTATTAATCATGTGACTGAGTATCCATGAGTGAGGCTCTGTCATGCTCTTGATGGTAGCAACAGTTACCATCACAGTGTACCTGTTGGGCACAAGGCCCAGGGATCACCATTAATATAACATTTGGTGTACTGTGAGCCAAATTGGGTCACACACTGGTGACATCAGAGCCCTAGGCAAGGGCCTTGCATCCCAAATGAACCATTTTGGAGGGGAGACCATCCAGGGAAGCTGGGGTCGTCAGCTCTGATGCCTCAGAGCACAGACCCAGATCAAGAAGGGATAGTTTTAAGTAGCTGCCACAGAAGGTTCCAGAATCAGGACCTATCTCTTGTGCTAGACCAGAATGGATTCTGTGACCCTGTGAATGTTCACCTTGGAAATGGGAACTGGTGGGTGGGGACTAAGTGGACATCTTCTCCTGAGGAGGAGAAGGATACAAGGGACAGACAATTGAGTGTGCTGAGTGCTGACCTCTGGGTCCATGGAGGATCTCCCTTGACCTTAAGATATGGACTCGAAATGGGAATGAATTTATGAACTCAGTGGACCAGGGGTTTGATGGCCCCTTCCTTTCTTTCCTCCTGTCCTGATGATCCCATGAAGGGCTTGTTACTTTCCCTACTACAGAGGCTGCAGCAGGCCACTGTTGCTTCCAAGCATAAAGGAACCCTGGGGGCCTCCAAGTTCTGCATTATCTCAGGAAGCCCCATTCCACTCAGAGATCCTATAGGCCTTCACATTGCCAAGGAACAGGCAAGTGCCAGTGATAGGAACTGGCTCTCTGGCCTGAGGTGGGCAATGCTACTGAGAAGTCCAAAAAGAGGGCTGGTAACTGTAGGAGCCAGAGTGCTTGTTTGGGTCACTCTCTGTTCTCAGCATGGGTAGCTCCTGGCCTGGCCTGGCCTGGAACAGAACAACACACTCAGAGGCCCTTAGATCCATGAAGCTACACAATCATGTTCCTGATGGACAAAGCTGGTTTGGCGTGGGGAGCAAAGGATCCAAGACCTCAGAGTCAGAAGCAGAACTTGCCTCCAATCTAGGTCTCCAGGGACTCCTCAGCCAGCAGGACTGTGGGCAGTTAGGTGCCATGTGGGCCTGTTCTTTCTGCACCTGAACCAGTTGGGTCTCCGAGTCCTTAGTCCTTAGACAGGTAATATTTTCCCAGTCATTTATAACAAGAAACTCAAGGTAGGGAAGAAAGAGATTCCCCTCATCCTCATCTCACCCAGCCTCATGTGGCCCAGATGGACTCACTCTCTGCAGAGAATAGCCAACAGGGCCACCCTTCTTCTCTGGTTGCCCTTCTCTGTTCAATACGTCTCACACCAGCCATCAGAAAGGTCTCTGCGCCCACCTGAGGCCTCAGTCATTACAGCCACAGCTTTAAAATGACATGATGGCGACTGGAGAGATATCTCAGTGGTTAAGAACACTGGTTGCTCTTGTAGAGAACCCCGGTTCAGTTCCCAGCACCCATATGACAGCTTAACAACCATCTGTAACTCCATTTCCACAGGGATCTGATGCCCTCTTCTGGCCTCCACAGGCTTTGCATGCGTGGGTGCACTTATATCCCTGAAGACAAAACACTCATACACATAAAATTGAAAAGAAAAGGGGATACTAGAGAGATAGCAATTAAGAGCACTGGTCACTCTTGCAGAGGACCCGGGTTGGTTCCCAGTACCACATGGCAGCTCACAGCTGCCTATGACTCCAGTTCCAGGGGATCCAGTGCTCTATCCTGGCCTCCATGGGCACTGTACGACATTGGTATGCTTACAAAGATGCAGGCAAAATACTCATACACATAATAAAAAGCCATAAATAAATAAATAAATATAAATAAATAAATTGACATAACGTACCACAAGGCATGGTAGTAACACCCTATCATTCTAGTACTCCAGAGACTGAGGCTGGGGCCATGAGGTTCTAGAAAGGGAGGGGCCAGGCTTGGTGGCGCACGCCTTTAATCCCAGCACTTGGGAGGCAGAGGCAGGTGGATCTCTGTGAGTTCAAGGCCAGCCTGGTCTAATAGTGAATTCCAGGACAGCTGGAGCTACAGGGAGACCCTGTCTCAAAAAGACCAAAAAAAAAAAAAAAAAAAAAAAAGAAAGGGAGGGAAGAAGGAAGGAAGAAGGAAGGAAGGGAGGAAGAAGGAGGCTAAGTAAAGTACTTAGGACAGTTCCTGTTGTGCAATAAGGGGTCTACGAATGTTTCTCATTTTTCTTACAACATGTCTAATCACTAGAGACAGAGCTAAAAACCAACAAGACTAAGGGAGGTTCAGAACTTCCCCAGAGGTGTACTCGAGACATAAACCAGAGATTCCTAACCGAGATCTGTGGGCTTCGCCCTCATCCTGCAAGTATTTTTTTCAGTCCACAGGGCATTGTGACATTTCTACATAAAAGCACTACCAAGCCTGAGGATCTGAGTTCAATCCCTGCGGACCCTCTTTTTTTTTTCTAGACTTTTTGAGACAGGGTCTCCCTATAGCCCTAGCTGGCCTGGAGCTCACTATGAGACCAAGCTGGCCTTGAACTTACAGAGGTCTGCGTGCCTTTGCTTCCCAAGTACTGGGATTAAAGGTGTGCTCCACCATGCCTGGCTGAGAACCAACTCTTATAAATTGTTCTCTGACCTCCATATTTTCATCATGCCACGAATGTACCTATACACATGTACACACACACACAGACACATACAGTCTCACACACAAATGTAATTTAATGTAAAAATCAGGGACTGGAGAGATGATTTAGCAGTTAACAGCACTGGCTGTTCCTGCAAAGAACCCAGGTTTGGTTCCCAGCACCCATAAAGGCTAACAACCATCTATAACTCCAGTTCCAGAGGATCTGATGCCCTTTTCTGGCCTCTGCAAGCATTACATGGCATGGGTGCACTTACACGCATGCAGGCAAAACACTCATACACATAAAATTTAAAAATAACTAATAAAATGTTAAAATAAAATAAATACCAGATCCCAAAGACAGGCATGATGGCTCATGTTTGGTCTGTTCATGCCTCCCAGTCAATAGGGAGGGTAAGCAAGAAGGATCCCTTTGTAGGGGACTGGGGATGTGACTCAGTTGGTAGAATGCTTGCCTAGCATGCATCAGGCCCTGGATTCAATTCCAAGCAACACATAAACCAGGTATGGTGGTACACACCTCTAATCCTTGAACTCTGGAGGTGGAGTTAGGAGAATCAGCAATTCTAGGTCATCCTCAGCTACCTCAGAGTTTGAGGTTAGCCAGGTGTGATGGTTTGAATGACAATGTCCCCCATAGACTCCAAGTATTTGGAAATTTTGTCCCCAGTTGGTGGCACTGTTTTGGGAAGTCTTAGCCGGTGTGGCTATGCTAGAGGAAGCAAGTCACTGGGGGCAGGCTTAGAGAGTTCTTAAGCCTTGCCAGATCCCAGGTCAGCTATTACTTCCTGTGCCTCTTAGCTTCTGCTCCTCCTCCAGCCACCTCTGCCTCCATGATCCCCTGCCATGATGGACTCTTGCCCCTTTGGAACCATAAGCTCAAATAAACTCTTCCTTCTATAAATTGCTTTGGTCAGTGTTTCTGTCACAGCAACAGAAAAGATAGTAATACGCCAGGGTTACATAAGACCCTGTCTAAAAAAAGAATTGCTTGTATCAGGAGTTCTAGCCTTGCCAACATAAGTTGAGACCCCACTTTGAGAAAAAAAATAATAATTGGACCCCCAGTTTGTCTTGTGAAGGCAGCAACTTTAGACCAGGCAGTCCTGTCTACTTGGAAAGTCTCCCCACTCTCTACCACCCAGCTCAGTTCACCCACTTAACTCTTACCTGCTTGTCCTCACAGACACTTTGAGTTTGTAACCCTCCATCAGAGTGGCCATCACCTGCTCCCAGAGCCTTGGAAGGGGAATTTGCCTCACACAATTTATTTTCCATACAATTTTGTCCCACTAGACAAAACTGGCATCAATGTCACCACCAGTCCGAGGGTTTGGTTACACTTTGAGTTTGTAACCCTCCATCAGAGTGGCCATCCCCTGCCCCCAGAGCCTTGGAAGGGGCATTTTGCCTCACACAATTTATTTTCCACACAATTTTGTCCCACTAGACAAAACTGGTATCAATGTCACCACCAGTCCGAGGGTTTGGAGACGGGTTCCACTGGAGCACTCCAGCCCAAACGCATTGCTTCCCAGAATTTGGGCAGATGACCTAAGGAAAAGAGCCCATTGCCAAACAGGGGGAGTTCTGGCAACTTTATCCCTGACCTCTGTGGCATCTTGGAGGAGAAGTTCTGGTTGTAGGGCTGGTGCTGGCAGCTCATGCCATTGGAGCTGCCCAGGTACTGCAGAGTGTTGATATCCTGGGTGGAAGGCACCAAGCTGGTGGTGTTGGGAGAGTGGTCAGGGCTGGCTACACTAGCACTGAGAGTGGAGTAGCTGTGGGGTGGGGCATTGTCCAGCTGGTCCAGGTAGAGAGAGTTGGCTGCTCGTTCTAGGTAGGTGGCTGCCAGGTGGGGCAGGCTCAGTGACTTGGGGTAGTTGTTGCAGAAAGCATTTGTGGATCTGTCCAGGTAGTTGATGCCTTTAATGAGCTGGTCCAGGAAGGTGGGGCTGGAGGGACATGAGGGATGGTCGGTACAGAGCAGGCAGTGGGGGTTACTACGATGATAGGTGGGCTTCCTGGCCACCTTGGGGTCTCTCATCAGGTGACTTGTCTCTACACACCTGGAGTTGTAGGGCCGGCCCATGCAGATTCTCCCCAGGGAAAGGCCAGGGGAGAGAGGGTTGAAGGACTGCTCTGAGTGGCTGCTAGAGGTGCTAAACTCAGAGCTACTTGGGATATGGGTGTGCAGGCCCTTGAAGTTATGCAGGCCAGGGCACTGGGCCGAGCCTGGAGTTCGGGGTGGGAAGGACACATTGTTGGGATGGCTCAAGCGTCTATTAATTAGCACTGGATCGACTTGCCTGGCGTCCAGACATTGTCCTGGCTGAGCTGATTAGAGTTTTGACTGAGGTGTGACAGTGTTTGAAGGTTGGTTACCTGGGCCTGGCAAAGAGAGAGTGGGGTTAGCTCTGGTCTCATCCTCTCCCTCTAATCTTTCTCTCCAAGGGTTCCTCTGCTCCCTCTTCCCTCTTCTTTCCTACCTCAGGACTTCTCCAGAAAGCACAGAAGGGTCAAAGATGAGGAGGAACCCAAGATCATCAGAGAGGCCAAGACCTGATAAAGGCACCTTAAGGACTGGAGTTGGGGAGAGGGGCTGGCCCATATTCCTTGAGCCCATATTCTGAAATTCCAAGTCATCTGCATAGTGGGGACCCCAGTAGACCACAGAAGTCAAAGGACAGACTCTCTAATGGTAAAAGTAGACGACAGGCCTTTGGTGAAACCAAACAGCTAGTTACCACAGTGCTGGCACACAACGAATACTCAGCCCTCACACGGTGCTCTGTGCTGCAGCCTCTTCTCTCTCTCTCTCTCATCTCCCACTCCCTGTGTCTCTGTCTGTCACTATCTCTCTGTCTCTGTCTCTTTGTGCCCTGTCCTTTGCTACCCCATGTCTTAAATGGAGCAGATCATTTATTCCCACTGTAAAATAAGGAGGGAAGTAGCATTCTATTCCCAGTTAACAGAAGGGGAAACAGGCTCAGAGAGATCACATATCTAGTCTACAGACAGACAGTTGTTAAGTAGTAAAGGCTATCTGGTAACCCCTGACAAATAATACCATGCCATCAGGGTGACGTTGGCCACCTCCACAGTCTTTTAAAGACGAATTCTCTCAGGGTTGGAGAGATGGCTCAGCGGTTAAGAGCACTAATTGCTCCTGCGGAGGACCCGGATTTGATTCCCAGCACCCATATGGTGGGTACGAACTATCCTTAACTCCAGTTCCAGGGGAATCCTAAGCCCTCTTTTGATCTCTAAGGCATTGTGCAATATGGGTGCACTCACATACATGCAGGCAATACACTCATACAAATAAAATAAAATTATATATATATATATATATATATATGTATATATATATATATATATTTTTTTTAAGATGAATTCTCTCCATGCCTGCCTGGCCCTCCTGGATCAGAGCCCTGGTGGGAAGAAGCAGATGAGCAGGGTGCCAACTAATCCCTGTAACTGTTGATTTGATTTTAAGAACCCCCAATGAGACTAGATTTATGAGATCAGAAGCTTTGGAAAGTTGATCATGGGGGTCACATGTACAAAGGAGACAGTTCAAGGCAACCTCAGCTACATAGTGAGTTCAAAGCCAGCTTGGGCTACACAAGACCCTGTCTCAAAAAATAAAACAAAAAGCCTGCTAAATTATTTGGTTCTAACCTTCTCTGACAGTGTTGGATTTCCTCACTTACCCCAGAGGAGAGAGCAGTATAGTTCCCACATGCCCACTCCGTTAAGCTCTTTCCTGTCTCTGGGCCTGCCCTGGGCTCTGATAACAGTAGTATAGCCCAAGTTTCCCCTTCGCCCTGGCCAGCCCTCCACCCTTGCCAGAGAAAAGCTCCTTTGTCTCCCCCACTACTGCCAGCTCCCACTGATTTCTGAGCTTTGCCCAGTGCGGACAGATCAGTATTTGAGCCCGCCCCACCCAGAAAACAGCTGCCAGTCCCTTTCCCAGCCCTGGCCCCTCAGCTGCCCTTGTCTTTTGGGTCTGAAGTGGGTGGAATGTCCAGCCACTGGCCTTTTTTCCTGCTTGGCCCAACCCCACCCCATCTCCTCCTCTAGAAAAACAAGAGGCAACTGAGAACTGCCTCAGCACCAGCCCCTTCCCTTCCTAGCCAGCCAGGTTACATCTAACACAGGGCTAGCTCCCCTCTCACCCTCTTAGGAGGTAGGTGACATAGACCTCTCTGGCTCTCCACTGGGATACCCGTATGCTGCCACTCCAGACTGCTGGCCATGTCATAGAATCATGGAACCCTAAGGTGGGGAGGGGCCTCCTGGGGTCATTCCGTCTGGCCCCAGCCTCAGGGCAGGAACCACTCACTATAAGCCCGCCAGGACAGATGGGCCCTATTTTTGAACTGAGACCGGGATGGCTGTTTTCCAGTGTTCTTTGTTTTTCTCATGTTTAACTGGAAGATTTATGCTAGCTCAAAACAACTCCAGCTTGCTGTGCTCAGCATTAGCTTCTCCTCTCAATGGGTCAGCAAACATTGATCCAGACTCCTCCAAGGCCTTTTCCTCTGGGGACCCAATCTGGGGCACTGAGAGCAGCCAACAATTCTGTGGTGAGCGCCTGCTGTGGGTTGGGCTCAGAACAGAGTGTGAAGTCTCTTCAAGAAGCAAATCTCAGTGCTCCTGTCAGAACCTGTGCCCTTGGGGTTGGGGGACCCCAGGACTCCCTCAGTAAGCGGGTGTTGAGTGAATGGCCCACATTCTCCCCTTAGCCTCATGGTATTTGCTAGGAAGGGCTTCTATCTAGCTCATTCTCACTGCGAACATTGGGACTGGCGGCACAGCCCAGTGATAGAGCATGTGTCCTGCTCCTAGGCTCTGGGTTTCAGACGCAGCGTGGCAAAAAATAAAAAGGTGGGGGAAACTGAGGCACAACTTGGTCTTAGAGTGCTTGCTGGGAATTTATGAGCCCTGAGTGTAATTGCTAATACTGAGAAAATCTCTCTCTCTCTCTCTCTCTCTCTCTCTCTCTCTCTATATATATATATATATATGCTTTTCTTTTTCAGTGATGTCCTCTGACCTCTATGTGCACACAGGCATATACATGTGTGTGTGTCTGTATGCACACTTTTTGTCTCTTTTTTATTTCTTAGTTTTTATTATTTTATGTGTATGACTGTATTGCCTGCATGTATATTAAGTGCACTCATGTCGTGTAATGCCTGCAGAGGTCAGAAGAGGGTGTCCCCTGGAACTGGAGCTATGGACAGTTGTTAGCCACCATGTTGGTGCTGGGACTCAAACCTGAGTCCTCTCTCTGCAAGAGCAGTCAGTACTCTTAACCACTGAGCTATCTCTCCAGCCCTTCTTTTTTTCTTTTTTCTTTTTCTTTTTCTTTTTTTTTTTTTGAGACAGCATCTCACTGTAGCCCCAGTTGGCCTGGAGGCCTGGAACTCACTATGTACACCAGGCTGGACTCCATCTCACAGATATCTGCCTGTCTCTGCCTCCCAAATGCTGGGATTACAGGTATGTACCACCATAATATCATATTTGTCTTTTCAAAACAGGGTCTCTCTGTAGCTTCAGCTGACCTGGAACTTGCTCTGTAAATCAGGCTGGCCTCCATCTCACAGAGATCTGTCTGCCTCTGTGTCCCAAGGGCTGTATTTTTATTTTTTGTGTATGAATATATTGTCTGCATGCATATAAGTGTACCATGTCATTCAATGCCCATGGAGGTCAGAAGAAAGTGTCGGATCCCCTGGAACTGGAGTTACAAACAGTTATTAGCTGCCTTATGGGTACTGAGAACCAAACTCTGGTCCTCTGCAAAAGCAACCAGTGCTATTAGCCACTGAACCATCTCTCCAGCCCCCAATGTGTGTGTGTGTGTGTGTGTGTGTGTGTATTACAAATTCTCAAGCTTATGCAGTGGGTGCTGGGAATTGAACCCAGGTTCTCTGTTTGTGTATGGATGTGCACATGCCCCTGTGCTCATGTGGTGGTCAGAGGACAATTTAGAGGAGTCATTTCTCCCCTTCTACCATGTGGGTTCTGGGAATCTAACTCAAGTCCATCAGCTTGGTGGCAAGTACCTTTACCCTCTGAGCCATCTCACTGGCCCCCATCTGCTCTACATCCAAATCTACTAATTAAACATCTTTTATACATTTATCACTTTATCCACCCATACATACTTAGGCTAGGGTAAGGAGCAGACAGCAGCATCTTTTGTCACTGATGGCCCTAGTGTGTATCTCTCTACACTAAGAGAACAGGGATGTTTTCTAACCTATACACAGGATGTTGATCCAGGGCTTTTAACCTTGACAAACTTATCCAATAGACAGTTCTATCATGGAACTCTGACCTTAGAACATAGCAGTCATTACCATCTTAATCTGAACAATTGTGACACCCACAGGAGACCCTCGAGGTCAGGCCTTTTGGTGTCCCCTCTCACAAGGAAGGGACTGGGGAGGGTCACTGGACTCTACCTGAGGTTCCAGCCACCCACTCCTGTGTGAGAATCCAGTGACCTGTGATTCTGCCTCAGCTGCACCTGGTCTCTGGGTGCTAGAGCACACAGAGGATAGAAAGCTAAAGGAAGTGGGGGTCCATTAATGCAGCTATGGGTGCTTGTCACCCAAGCTGGGGTGGGATTTTTCAGTGATTTGGCTGTGTTGGGGTCACCTGTATGCCTGTGAGTCACCCCTTTCCCCATGTTGCAGTAAATAAGTCCAATAAACTCACTGATTCACCAATTCAGACTTGGGTGGAATTGTTTCTTTTGGCCTGTTGTTGGAACCCTATTTGGTATGAGTAGGTGTTCAAGTCTCCCCAGTTGACACCACAAATCCATATTTAAACTTCATAGGTGCCCCTCAAATTGTTGTGCTGACAACTGTTCACCCAACCCCAGATCCAATAAAGGAACCAGCATGCATTTAGGCCTCTCTCTCTCCTCCCTTCCTCTCTCTCTCTCTCTCTCTCTCTCTCTCTCTCATCTCTCCTCTCTCTCTCTCTCATCTCTCCTCTCCTCTCTCTCTCTCATCTCTCCTCTCTCTCTCTCTCTCTCTCTCTCTCTCTCTCTCTCCTGTGTGTGTGTGTGTGTGTGTGTGTTCTCCTCTCTCTCCCCTCTCTTGTCTTTTTGAAACATGGTCTCCCTGTAGTCCTAGCCGACCTGGAACTCACTATGTAGATCAGGCTGACCTCAAACTTACAAAGATCTGCCTGCCTCTGCCTCTGCCTCCCAAATGCTGGAATTAAAGGTGTGTGCCACCACTTGTGTCTTTTTAG